ATTTGAGCATGATGTTCATCATAGTAGCATCTTTGTTCCCCATCTTCTCTTGGAGTATATTCTCTTTTTCTGCCTATCTCCTTACCCTTCCTTATTACCTACTCCTTGCACCCTAATATCATCCCTCTGCTGCATTCAGACAACACCAAATCATATGATAAGGTATCCTGTACTTCTTGAGGCCATACAGATAACCTGCAGCTGCTATGCTGTTGCACTTCATTTTTCCTCACCTTTTCATTTTCTGTCATTGTTCCTTTCCTCTAGCACCTGCCTGGCTCCCTGAAGCCCAATGTGTGTCTACTACTCCCTCTCTTGCTGTGGATCCCCAGATTAGACCCCTTCCTTCCAACCTCTGAACTCCCATATTACTCCCTATCCCTGAGAATGCCCTGCTGCTCAAAACCAGATTAAGAATCTGGACCCTGCTTGTTCTGCTGAAATGCTCCTCCACCTGATCCTTCCTTCTACATGCACTCCATGCTCCTATCCCCTCTAATAAGTGTACCCCCTACTGCTGACATAGCCAAGATCAGGTAACCCATTTCGATTAGACATTCTGGGCTTTAAAGCTCCTGTTGTGACCTTAGATTTACTGAAAACCTTCAGTGACATCAGAAATTTCTGATTTTCTTCTGTAGCTATGTTTGGATTTGAGTTTCCTTCTCTGGGCTGAGTGCAAAGCACTAATACCACCATAAAAAGTTCCCTCGAGATCCAAAACATAGCTGCAGCATTTGTACCTGCAAAAAAGAAAAAATTGTTAGATAAAAATCTCATCATACTCTCCTCCAAAAGGATTTGAGTATGATGATGTTTATACAGACTCCTTTGATCCCCCTCTGCAGGTGATGTAGCTCCTCCACCTCTTCCTATCTCCTTGAAGCTGAGATTCTTATGTATGGACATTGTAATTTATCAGAGTTCACCAATTTTCTCCCCTGAACATCCAAATCTTCAAATCCATAACACTCAAACATGCCATTGTCCAGGGCATAATTTGCAATGTGATCTGCTAACTTGTTTCCTTCTCTGAGTGTATGAGATATCTTAACATTAGCCCTCTTCATCAAATCCATAATCTCCTCTACCAGACTTCCCAAGACCCAAGGGGGCTTCCATTCTCCTGTAATCACTTTTTGCAGCACCATAGAGTCTGTGTGCAAGTCAATCAAGACATAGTCATGCTGTACACAAAATTTCAAAGCCTCAGAGATAGCTTTAGCTTCAGCAACTGAATTTGTGCCCTCTTGGATCTCCTTGCCACATGCATACAGGACATCACCCTCCTCATTTCTAAGGACAAAACCAATTGAACTCCTTCCCGGATTACCTCTTGAAGCTCCATCTGTGTTGACTTTCACCCAACCTTGTTCTGGAAAATCCCAATTCACCTTTGTATATCTAAGATTTGGTGTGAACTGATCCATCATCTTCAACATATCTGGCCACCTATGAGAAACCTGACTAATTCCTGGCTTCCTTACTTTAATCAATGACTACAGAGTAGAAGAGATCTGGTACACCACCCTGTTAATAGTGACTGCATCTCCATATTTATAACTGTTTCTCCTCTTCCATAATTCTCATACTATGACTGATGGCAAGGCTTGCAAAATTGGCTTCAGTCGAGGTACTACATCTACAGTCCAGCATTTGATAATTGCCTGGTATAGTGTGAGTCCTTTTGTTACAATACCAACATGCCCAAGGTAATACCTCCATACTTTGTTTGCAGCATATAATGTAAAAAATAAGTGTTGTGTTGTTTCCTCCAAAGGATCTGCACAACACCAGCACTTAGATGTCATCTGATAGCCAAGTCTTCTGAAAAACTCATCCAATAATAGCTTGTTCCTCCATACTTTTCACATGAAAAAGCTATCTTAAATGGCAGACCTTTCACCCAAATTTTCTTATAAGCTGACATTGGTTCAACTCTGTTCCTCACATACTCCCATGTTGTTCTAACACTGAACTGACCCTTTGATTCCAAAGTCCAAACAGGTACATCCAAGACTCCTTGAGCTGCAGGTGGCTGAAGGTTTACTATGATGTGTTCTGCAAATTCTTCAGGTAATATTTCATAAAGCCTTTGTGTATTCCATTCTCCTCCATCCATCACATCCCACACATTATGGACTGATTCATCAATTCCAAAATTTTGAGGAATCAAAAAAAATACAAAGCCCCTAAGCCTGTCCAGTTGTCATACCAGAACAAAGAAGAACCTATCCTTGGTTGCCAAATGATCAGGTGTTCAACAAGGTCTCTGCACTCCAACATCTTTCTCCAAACATGTGATCCTTTTCTCCATGGCACTACCACTGAATTTATCTTTTTGCAATACTTCTGACTCATAAATGAGCTCCACAGACTAGGTTTTGTTCTATATTTCCACCACAATTTGCAGAACAGAGCTTTTGCTACATCATGAAGGGATCTAAAACCAATACCCCCTTCTTCCTGTGGCATACATAAGGTACTCCATGATACCCAATGCCTGTTGTTACCTGTCACTGAACTGCTCCAGAAAAATTGAGCAAAAATCTTGTGAAGTATATTAATCACATATGCAGGTGGATTGACTGCAGATAACAAATGAATTGGCATACTCTGAAGCACATGGGCAATGAGAATTGTCCTTCCCCCAATAGGCAATAGCTTGCCTTTCCATGATTGTAATCTGTCCAATACCTTAGTAATCATTGGCTGATAATATTCCATTTTCCTTCTTGAATAAAAAATAGGGCATCCTAAATACACAATTGGGAATTCCTGCCTTTTAATTCCTGTAACTCTCTCCACCTTCTCTTCTACTTCACTATCAGTCAAATGATGGGGATACACAGCTGACTTTGCCTTATTGACTAGCTGTCCAGATGCTTCTTCATACGCTGCAAGTACCTCCATTATGTGCCTAAGGGAGGTGTCATCTGATGAGGAGAAAATAATTGTATCATCTGCATATGCAAGATGATTTATCTTTGGAGCTCCATTTAGGTAAACCATATCCACAGAAATGCAAATTCAGATGCAGAGCATTAAGACCCCTTGAGAGTGCTTCAACAGCTAAGATAAACAAAGTAGGAGACAGAGGATCTCTTTGTTTTACCCCTCTTGATGATTTGAAAAAACCATGTGCTTGACCATTTATCAGTACTAAGTACCAGTTATTTGAAACTATGCCAAAAACCATGCCAATAAATCTTTCAGAGAAGCCCATCTTTCTCAGAACCTTAGTCAAGAACAACCAAGAAAGCCTGTCATAAGCTTTGGTCATATCCAGCTTCAATACAACATTTGGACCTGCCTTAATTCTTAGTCTCATATCAGTGACAATCTCTTGAGTTAACAGAATATTTTCTACAATGCTCCTCCCTTTAACAAAACCAGCTTGTTCTTCAGATATCAAATTAGGTAGCAGCCCCACAAGCCTTTCATGGATAACCCTTGACACTACCTTATTAGTAAAGTTACTGAGGCTGATTGGTCTAAGATCTGAGAAGGTGCAAACTTCTTTTTTCTTTGGAAGCAGCACAAGGTTAGTATGGGTCACACATTTTGGCAATTCATGCCCATTAAAGAATGCTCTCACCATGTCAAATAGGTCATCTCCTATAATATCCCAACATGACTGATAAAATTTCCCTGTGAATCCATCTAGGCCACCTGCACTGTCTCCATTGAGCCCAAATACAACTGCCCTTACCTCCTCTAACGTTGGCTGCATGATCAAATCTTCATTTTGGCCTGAATCTATCAATGAAGGAACATGACTTATGATATCAAAAGATGTAGGTGCTGCAGATTCTGAGAACTGATCCTGAAAGAATTGAATTGCTTTTGCAGCTATCTCCTTTTCTTCTTCTATCCACATACCCTGACTGTTCTGAATTCTGGACAATTGCAGCTTCTTTCTTCTACCTCTAACTTGCACATGGAAAAATTTAGTATTCCTGTCACCATCTTTAAACCAGGACATTCCAGATTTTTGCTTCCAATATTTTTCTTCCAATGCTAGATATCTGATTAGTTCAGCCTGTACCTTCTACAACCTTTGTCTGTTTTGTTTTATAGGGTTAGCTTCAAACTCTGCTTCATGCACAATTACAACCTCCTCAAAACTAGCTATTTTTTGAAATATGTCCCCATATGTTGATTTACTCCATCCAGATAGAGCCTTC